GAATGTGATTATGTGAATCGATTTTGACAATTTTTACTAAAAAACTGCTAAAGAAGGATGAAAAAATAAACAGCAGAAGAGTTGGCAGAAAGTCGTTCCAAAAACCTTCATTATTTTATTATTTTTCACATTAAAAGTATTTTAGTCCAAAATTGAGCTGTGAAGTAGTAAAATTTCATTATTTATTGCACCTGACATACACGTTCAGAGATTTTTTCCCGAGATTTTCATTTCCGTAAAAGCATTTTGAAGTTTATTATTTACACAAGTGGTAAACAAAAATTCATGAAACGAAATTTAGTCCCCAAAGACCAAAAAGAGCACAATTTGACACTTTGGGGACAAAAACGACAAAAAACTTTAATTTTCCATCCACATAAATGCTGACAAATAAACTTTTTTCCATCTAATCAAAAAGCCCAGCTCACGCCGAATTAAACTAATCAATTAACAAAACATTGGCGTAAATAAAAACATCGCATCAAAACTGTGAATATTCCATTTCAATTCAAATAAAGGTCTAAATAACGCAACAAAAATATTTATGTGACCATTCGCAGACAATTTTGAATTGCAAAATACCAATTTGCACTCGAAAATTTCACTCGATCGATGACAAAATAAAAAAAATGATTTTTGTTCGTAGCTTGAAGCTTTGAATAACTTCCAATCTGGGTTTTTTTCATTTATTTGAAGAAAAACAAATACGAACATTTTCCATAATTAAGCCTCTTATCTTAGTATCTAATAAACCACCACCAATTTCGCCCAACATGCAAGTTTTATTATACACACGGTAGAAATAATAGCAGTTTTGGTACGCATATTAAATATTTATTCATTAATTTTTGTTCTAAACGATCGAAGTATGACAATTTTTCACAATGCTAACAGATTTTACCATTTTAAATATTCAAAACTTGTTGATGTAAAATCGATTAAACTAATGTCGTAAATGGTTTCTTTTTCAGTCGTGTTTATGTTGAGACATTTGAAATTTAACATTTTTGAACAAAAACAAAAAGAATCGATATTTGCACAATTCCTCGAAAGTTGATTCCCCGAGAGATAACTTTTATAAAAGTGTTTTGTGGCATTTTGTTATGAAGAAATAAGCAACAAGTCGAAATGAAAATGCACTTTGCTTTCCTGCCAATCATTTTCAATCATTACATTGTCTGAAAATAACAACAAAGAGTTTTTTTCAAAAACAAAGTTCAAATCGATGATGTTTGACCTACTTTTAGTGGCAGTAAGTTTCTAAATTTGAAAAACATTCGCATGGTAAAGGAATCTTTCTTTTTCGATGCGAGCTTTCTTCAATTCTTTGAGTGAAAAATCAGCTTTTGCTCACCTCTGAATTCGACTTTGGCCAACTTTTCGCCCTTGCACTTCGCGATTTTGAACTGTTTTAATTTGACAGATAGCGACATTCCGCGCGCTTTTCCCCGACACACGACCTGACTCTTTTCAGGACACAACAGGACTTGTTGCAGTCCTGCTGAAAGGCCTGGTAAGGATAATGTCGCGCAGGACCTCTGCATGTTCCTGCGTATTATTAATATACGAGGCTAGCCGTGGGGGAAAAAGCGAAATTTCATGCGGAAAATTAATGTTTACCTCAGCTACTGTTTACATGTGGATTCGAACCTAATCAGAACTTCCGACGTTCTAATTAAATTAGAAAGCGATATTGTGGTGGTCTTATATTTACGTAAAATCTTGGCGAATTCTCAATTTTTGTGAACATTTTCAAGGTTTTGTATTCAAAAATTCACAAAGCTTTGGAACAAATGTCTGGTCTGAGTTCGAAACTCACTGAACTATCCTCATTTTTCATTTTTCTTACATGAAATAAAAAACTTTCTATTTAGGTAATTCTATTACTTCTTAACCCATTTATTTACTCAACTTTTGGTGCTCGTTTTTATTCAATTTTTTTTTCCATAAGCGATATGTTTATTTTTTTCTAATTATTCCAATTGCATATGTACCAGATGTGATTATTTTCATGCTAGTTTAGTAAAAATTCTAATATTGAGTAATTTTTTAGAAATAAAAAAAACTGCTGTCACTCTTCAAAAAAAATATTGAAACACTAACTTTTCAATTATTAATATAGTACGTTAAGTCAAATATAAATAACAGATGCTACTTTTGCATCTTTTTCGAGCATCTGTCATAATTTTTAACCAAAAATTTGATTATTTCGCCAAATTTTCTCAAAAAAAGGGAAAAACCAACAACACTGGTTAAAAATATGTATTTTTTTACGCAATTTTACTAAACAGGATTGAGAATGACAATTTATTCGTACTTTTGTTTTTTTGGAATGCTTTAGTACGTACATTTTTCAGCTAGAAACACAAAATTTCGTTAAATGTAGCCAAAAACGGTGTTATTTTTGCCTGTTTCATGCGTTTAAGCAAATTTTTGAAATGAAATAAAAAAAATCGAAAAATTTCGGACTACCTAGTTAGTCCGTTTAAATTCGTTAAATTAGTTAACTAACTACAAAATTAAATCAAGATTAATGTAATTGTTTTAGCCTGTTTTTAGAAACCAGAGACTCATTTTTAAAGCAAAATCTTATCGTAAGCAGCTTCAAAATTACAAAAAAATTAACATTGATGTTATTTTGTTTGTTTCACTTAATTTAATTGTTTTTTGAGTAAAATTACAATACAAATAAGTCGAGAAACCACAAAGTTTAGTCCAACATTTTCAAGGTTTTGTATTCAAAAATTCACAAAGCTTTGGAACAAATGTCTGGTCTCAGTTTGACTGAAAGCTTTTTAAACTCACTGAACTATCCTCATTTTTCATTTTTCTTACATGAAATAAAAAACTTTCCATTTAGGTAATTTTATTACTTCTTAACACATTTATTTACTGGTGCTCGTTTTTGTTCTTTTTTTTTCCATAAGCGATATTTTGTTTATTTTTTTATAATTATTCCCATTGCATAAGTACCAGATGTGATTATTTTCATGCTAGTTTAGTGCAAACTTTTGTAAAAATTCTAATATTGGGTAATTTTTTAGACATAAAAAAAACTGCTGTAACTCTTCAAAAAATTATTGAAACACTAACATTTCAATTATTAATGTAGTAAGTTAAGTCAAATATAAATAACAGATGCTATTTTTACATCTTTTTCGAGCATCTATCATAATTTTCAACCAAAAACTAATTATTTCGAGAAATTTTCTCAAAAAAAGGGAAAAACCAACAACATTGGTTAAAAATATGTATTTTTTACGCAATTTTACTAAACAGGATTGAGAATAACAATTTATTCGTATTTTTGCCTTTTTGGAATACATTTTGCAGCTAGAAACACAATTATTTCGCAAAATTTCGTTAAATATAGCCAAAAACGGTGTTATTTTTGCCTTTTTCACGCACGTTTTTGAGATGAAATCAAAAAAATTCGAAAAATTTCGTTTGAACAGACCAAAAAGTACAAAATTAAATCAAGACTAATGTTATTGTTTTAGCCTATTTTGCTCAATTTACTTCGTTTTTAAACCAGAGACTCATTTATAAAGCAAAATCTTGTCATAACAGGCTTTAAAATCACAAAAAAATGACATTGACGTTATTTTGTTTGTTGCACTTAGTTTAGTTGGTTTTTGAGCAAAATTACAACACAAATAAGTCGAGAAACCATAAAGTTTAGTCGGAAATGCGTTTATGTTCAAAAATGTCAGGTTTTGTGCAAGATTTCGCTAAAACAAACCAAAAAATAAACAAATTAGATCGAAAATTGTATTATTTTTGTATTTATCGAGTTTTTTAGGACGTTTTTCTGTTAGAAACACAACACAAATTTCGTTAAATGGAGGGTAAAAATTCAAACAAAAATGCCAAAAACAGTGTTATTCTTGCCTTTTCTTTGTTTTTGAGATAAAATCAAAACAATTCGTTAAAACAGTCTAAAAGTTATAGTAGAATTAAATCGAAATTGATATTACTTTAGTTTGTTTCGTTCAATTTACTTCGTTTTTGAACCGGAGACTTATTAAGTTTGCAAAATCTTGTCCTAAAAGTCGCAAAAAAATTATATTGATATTAATTTGTTTGTTTCACTCAGTTTAACTGGTTTTTGAGCCCAATTAAGACAATTATTTTTGTTATACTTTATATATTTATTTTTTTATGTAGGCTTTTCTTTTGTCACATAATTGTTTATTCATTTATTGATGTTTGTTTGTGTTCAGTTATTGGAATACAACTATATTCTGTTGAACAATAAATGTATTATTATTTTTATTATTAAAAATAAATCAAAAAACCACAAAATTTAATCGAAAACACAAAAATCTTAGGTTTTCTGCAAAATTTCGCTAAAAGAAACCAAAAAAAACAACAAATTAAATTGAAAATTGTATTATTTTTTCACAGAATTACGTACGCCCTTTTGTCTTTTCGAAATTTAAGCTAATTTTTCCATCTTGAGACAAAAAATCACTAAATTGTTATGAAGAAAGATTATATAAAATCTTTTTCTAACTCTTACTCTTTAACAACTCAGTTTATGGAAAAAAAGTACTATTGGAAGGATTTAAATTGTAATCTTGTAAAAATAAGTGGCACCACTGCATGAGGGTGTAAAAATTCAATTGGTGTCTTATCATGTCTTTGTAAACACAAATTCTCAAATATATTTCGTATATTATTATATTTCTTCCTGGAAATTTGACATCTCTGATTTGTATAAAGCTTGTTCAAGGATGAAACAATAAGATTGCTGCATTGCTTGCAGCAGGGAGTGCAAAAAGCTTTCACTCAACTTCCAAGACATTTGTTTTCAAGCTTTGTACCTTGCATACAAAAGCAACGTCAAAGTCAACGTTTGTGGTTGTTTCGTATCAGCGACCACTCAAATACGTAAAAAAAAGCTTTCCTGAAAAAGAAAACATGAAAAAACACTTACCTACGCACACTATGTAAAAATAAATAAAAATCGACTCGGATATCAATGAAACAACTTGTTGTTTAAATTAGCAAATTTATTTTTAAATAGATACAGTCTGTTATTCCCTATCTAGAAAGCCTGTACAAAATTCAAAGGTATATATACAAAAAATATCAAAACTGCGTACTTATACAAAAATGCTAAACTATCGACAGTGCAGACTTTAGGGTCATGATACACTCCAATCACAAAATCGAGAACTACTACTTTAGAATTTTATTTTGAGTTTTGATAAAATATCATGGCACTATAACGCAAAACAAACGAGAATCAGTCATACCACATCATGTATTTTTACTCTCTATACACGATTCAGACTGCGTTTCATTCTCAATAAAATGATCTTTAAATAAACACAATCCTTCTATACCTTTAAGAAAGTTATCGGATATGGAAAAGGAATAATACACTGTAAAATCGTTTACTAATGGGAATTAATACAAATCAAGTGACACTTATTAGCAGCTATAATCCTGTGGTTCTATTTTTGCACAAATATTGAGTATATCGTTGTAAGTAATATTTTTCGAAACACACACTAGGAAAGCATAAATGTTTATGCGTTTTATAAATAACACCAAACACGTCATTTGGCAATTTGAACTAAATCAAAGTCTTGAATTAATAAAAATGAGCATATTGTATCCTACAGTAAAAACGATAAAAACAAATATACACACAAATAAAATATATACAGAAAAAGAAAATTGTAAACAAACAAATCAGACGCTTCGATTCGCTAATTTAATAGTATCTTTGGGATTGTACAAAATTTATCTCTTATAGTAACTCTACACAAACTATAGGTATTTCCTTAGCACTATTGTTGAACACTCACACGTTCAAATGATAATTTACATACAAATAAAAGACTAGCATAGGATTTTTCAATCACTTTCCCTTCGCCCCACATCGCACCGATATGAAGCAAAGGAACGTCCGAATAAGTTAAAATAAAATAAAAACAAACAAGAATTCGTGGAAAATTCTAGGACAGCTAAAAAGTAAATAAGTTATTATTGAGCACGTACACCTAAAACAATAAAATGGTATCACAGTTTAGTGAAAATAACACGGGGTCGTTCTATCGAAAATCTCCAAAAACACAAAGAGAAAATAATACAACCAATGCACTTGAAAAACTACCACCACACAGTACGTAAAAATTTGATAAATGCATGGGCTTACCTAGAAAAGTATATAATTAAATTGAGTGGTCCTAACAGTCGAATACAAGTGTATTTTTGTATTTTATATTAAATAGGATAAAGTTTCTATCGGAACACTACGTTCACCACGTCTCTGATAGTATTGTTGACTTCGTTAATATACCTAGTGTTTTCGGTGCTGTTGCGTGAACCAGCCGAACGCAATTGCCGAGCTTGAGTCTCCAAACGGGTGAGCAATTCGCGAAATTGGAACTTCGTATGAGCAGGAACTACATTGTCTGCATAGTCCATGCAGGAACCATGCAACAAACCGATTTTGTCGGATAATTGCAACCAAGTCGTCGTCGATACACTATCGTTTGATTTTATGCTACGGAGAGTCGATTCCAGGGCTTGAGACAACTCCAAAATGTTGTCCTTGCCGACCTTGTCAGTTGGGTCCTGCAAAAAATACAACAATAACCAAAACCGAGTTTCAATAAAAAAAAAGTTTTATGAAAACCTCACTCCTAGCGACTAGCGATTTTTTTCAATTTTATTTGACAATGAGTAATTTTTTGCTTGATTTTTTTGTTACAACAGAAGATTATTTGCTAATTTTTTTCTCACGAACCAATTTTCTAACCGCAAGCGATATTCTGCTCAGTGTCTTCTTCTAACACACAATTTTACGACAATGGGCGCCTTTTTTCCTCGATTTTTTATTCAATTTTTCCGATCGAACAAAACGATTCTTTGTTCAATTTTTATTACAACAGGTGATTTTATTCTCTCAATTTTTATTGCCAAAAAAAAAATCGTTTTTTGCTCAATTTTTGGTTAGAACAATTGATTTTTATTAATTTTTTTGTGACAATAGGCGATTTTTTGTTCAATTTTTTGTTTTCACGAGAATTTTTTAATAAACACAACCGATTTTCCTGCATAAACTAGTGTTAATAAATAAAATAATAATAATAAATAAATAAAATGAAAGAAAATACATACAGGCTGCGCCGGAACTCGCGCCCCAGAGAAAAGGTAAGGTATATGCTATTAAAAGAGGAAACAAGGAAGCTGTATCTTCTTAAATTGTAACTCTGTTCAATGTTATTTGTGGCTTTTATTGGCAAAATTTTTGTCCCTTTACTAAATAATTGTAAAAAAAGCATATGCAAGATCATCAGTATCATTAAATAGATATAAAAAAATGTCAAATGTCAAAAAATGAATGTCAAAATTTTAGGACAGATAGAATTTTTTAAACATTTTTTTCACGTTCCTGGTATCTTACCTTACTTGAAAATTTTCTCTGAGACGCGAGTTCTGGCGCACCTGTATATTATATTATGGCAATAGGCAATTTCTTGGTGAATTTCTTTTGTTTTGCTCGATTTTTTATTCCAAGTAGCCATTTTTTGCTCATTTATCGTTCAAACGAACGGTTTTTTGTTCAATTTTTATGATAATAGGCGATTTTAATTTGCTCAATTTATTTGTTGCCACCAGCGATTGTTTTTTTGTATTTTTTTTGAAACAATCAGTTTTTATTAACTTTTTTGTAACAATAAGCGATTTGTTGTTCAATTTTTTTGTTCTCACGACAAATTTTTAATGAACCTAACCGATTTTTCTCTACAAATTGGTGTTTTTTTAATTTTCTTGTTAATTTTTATAATAATGAGCAATTTTATTCTTGGTCACTTTTTGTTCCGACGAGCAATTTTTTGTTACGACTAACGAATATTTCTTCTTGCTTGATATTGTTTGTTGAACTTTTTTGTTACAATAAAACATTTTTTATTAAATTTTCTGTTCTCACGAGCTAATTTTCTAACCGCCACGTATTTTTTGCTTAGTTTCTTGTTCAAATGACCAATTTTTCATTAAATTTTTGGTTCGACCAATCAAGTTTTATTAATTTTTTGGTGACAATAGGCAATTTTTGTTCTCACATCAATTTTTAATGACCGCTACAGATTTTTTGTATAAACTAGTATTTTTTTTTTAGTAATTGGTAATTTCTTAATTAATTTTTACTTGCTATAAGTAATTTCTGTGACAATGAACAATTTATGGTTATAGCGAACGATTTTTTGTGATCTCTGCCGAATTTTTACTCAATTTTTCGTTGCATCGAGTAATTTTTCAAGTAATGAGTGATGTTTTGCTCAATTTTTTATTCAAAGTAGCGATTTTTTGCCCATTTTTCCTTCAAACGAACAATGAACAATTGTTTGTCAAATTTCTTATTTTCTGTGCAATTTTTAATCACCGAAACCGATTTTTTTGTACAAATTAGTGTTTCTTTGTTATTTTTTGTGGTAATAGGTAATTTCCTAATCGATGTTCTAGTGCTACGAGCGATTTTGTGACAATTTTTTGGTAATAATGAGCAATTTTTGTGATCGCTGCTAACATTTTTGTTAATTTTTGTTCCGTCGAGCAATTTTTTGTTATGACTACTGAATTTGTCTTCAGTTTTATTTGACAATGAGTGAAAAAATGTTGATTTTTTTTTACAATAGAACACTTTTTACTAAATATTCTGTTCTCACGAGCTAATTTTCTAACCACAACGTATTTTTTTGCTTAGTTTCTTGTTCAAATGACCAATTTTTCATTAAACTTTTGGTTCGAACAATCGAGTTTTAGTAATTTTTTTGTGACAATAAGGAATTTTTTGTTCAATGTTTTGTTCTTACGAGCAATTTTTAATGACCGCAACTGATTTTTTTGTACAAACTAGTGTTTTTTGTAGTAATGGGTAATTTCTTAATCAATTTTTGTTGCTATAAGTGATCTTTATGACAATGAACAATTCTATTTTTTGTGATCTCTGTCAAATTTTTGCTCAATTTTTCGTTCCAACGAGCAATTTTTTGAGCATTAAGTGATGTTTTGATAGATTTTTTATTCAAAGTTAGCAATTTTTGCGAATTTTTCGTTTAAGCAAACGATTTTTTGTCCAATTTTGATGATAATTGGCAAATTTAATTTACTCAATTTTTTTTGCCACCAGCAATTTTTGCTCAATTCCTTGTTCGAACATTTGTTTGTAAGAATGAGAGATTTTTTGTAAAATTTTTCGAGCAATTTCTAATCACCGCAATCGATTTTTTTTGTACAAAATGTTTCTTAGTCATTTTTTGTGCTAGTGGATAATTTCCTAGTCGATTTTTTAGTGCTACGAGCGATTTGGTCCCAATTTTTTTTTATAACAATAAGCAATTATTGTTAATTTTTTGTTCCGGTAAGCAATTGTTTGTGGCCGCATCTTAAAAACGAAACTCACCTTCACATCATCCTCTGGCGTCTTATTCTCCAAATTAGCCGGCTTGGCCATAATCGGGGGCTTATTCCCCGACGTAGGCGCAATGGGAGTAGCATAAATCGCCGATCCTGCCGGCCTTCCTGCAATAACCGGTTTAACCGCTTTAACCGGTGGTTTAATCGGTATTACAGGTTTCTCCTCTCCGGTAGGCGGCCAACTCTTTTTCTCCCCCTTCCCTCCCCCTTTCCCCGAATCATCCGACGTCTCAACCGGTGACACTTCACTAATCAATTCTTCATTCTTGCTATTTTTCAACGCCAACTTCGGACTCAATTGTACACTTCCAGGAGCATCCTCTTTTGGTTCCCACAACTTTTTCAAACTACTTATACTCCCCGTACTTTTTCGTTTATCCTCTCCATCGTCAATTTTCAAATTTCCACTATCTGAACTCGCCGTACTTTCTCGTTTACTCGTCTCCTGTTCCTCCTCCTGATCGACTTTTCTCAATCGTGATTTAAAATCAATTATTGAATCGTCTGGTTTGTCTTTGGTCGTTGGTGGTTTTTTCACAAGATCGATTTTTTTGAGCTGTGACACAAAACTAACTCCATTGGAGTTTTTTCGTGACGTTTGATCTTTTCTATCTTTATCGAGATTGAACGATTGTGACAGTTCGGTCACTAGTTGAGCTACAGGATCGTGACTAATGCCACTCACAGCCATCAATGGTTCTGACAATGGCGATTCTTTCAATTTGCTCTTCTGATCGGCACGTTCTTTTATCTCAGTTACCAGTTTCAATTCCATCTCTTTTACTAGTGCGTTCTTGAACACTTTTTTAGATTTATTGTCGTCTGATGGAGTCTCGTTTTCGGCATCGCCTGAAAACAAAAAATTAAAATTCTGTCAATTCTACGAATACCTAAAGACTAGGTTACGACACGATGTAAAATAAAACGTCCCCGTTCTCGATAGTTCCGTTAGTGAGGCCAGATAGCGCAGTTGTTCCTTTCCCGTTTCAGTTTTAAGAGCAAGGAAATAAAAAATGGCTGTATTTAGCAAAACGCAAATAAAAAATATAGACAGATAGAGCATTAAATACTCAATAATAAAAGATAAAGTAAAAAAAAACCAAACATTTAGCGCCCCGTCACATATTTTTAAAAATGCTGCGAATACGGTTACAGGTACAAGAAAAATATAAAAAAGAAAGTTGTAGAGAATAAAATTTTCAAGAAAAAAGTCCGCGAAAGATAATCAAATCAAATCAAATATCTTTTATCTATAAAAGTTTCGAAGTTATGAGGGTTTAAAGTTTGCACTTTGACCCTATTTATTTCTGTTGGAAAAATAATTTTCTAAGTTTTTTTACTATAGGCTATTAAAAGAAGAAACAAGGAAGCTCTATCCTAAATTGTAACTCTGTTCAATGTTATTTGTGGCTTTTATTGGCAAAATTTTTGTCCCTTTACTAAATAATTGTAAAAAAATAGACAAAAAAATGTCAAATGTCAAAAAATTTATCTCAAAATTTTTTGACAGATAGAATTTTTTAAACATTTTTTTCATGTTCCTGGTATCTTACCTTACTTGAAAATTTTCTCTGGGGCGCGAGTTCTGGCGCACCGTGTATAAGCTTATTTATTCTAAGTGAGAATTTATAACAGAAAAGTCAAAACTAAAAAATTCCTCGAGTAAAATGGATTTTTCACAAAAAAAAATTTGACAAAGTTTTTAAATAAATTACAAGGTAACATTTTGATACTACGAGGTAAAGTATTGAAGAATTTTAAACAGTAATAGTTAACAGTGTCTCGAGAGCGGTTTAATCTTAAGAAATCATGAAGTAAGTCTTTGTGACGAGGTCTTGAGTTGAAAATTTTGAAGAGTTATTTTTTACAAAAAGTAAGCAACAAAAAATGTACAATGATGGAAGCGTCATGATTTGTAGATCCGCGAAACTCTTGCGACAACACTCTCTGTACTTTAAATTAAATTCCAGCAAGTAAAAATTGGGGGTCACATGTCAGGTTTACAAAGTGTGCCTTCAGGTGTACCGCAGGGATCTGTTTTGGGTCCACTTCTTTACATTATTTTTATAAATGATATAGGATATAATTTTGATAGTGATTATAGTATATTTGCTGATGATCTTAAGATATTTAGAAAAGTTTCGGAATCTCGTGACATTTCTGTATTACAATCTGATTTATATAAGTTACAAGACTGGTGTGCAAATAACAAAATGTTTTTAAATGTTGAAAAGTGTCAGTCTATTGTTTTCAGCAGGAAAATCTCTCCAACCCTACCGAATTATTTTATTAATAGTACAAAAATTACAGTAAAACAGTCTGTGAGAGATTTAGGTATATTACTTGATAGTAAATTAACTTTTATTCAACATTTTGAATTTATCATTTGTAGAGCTAATAAGGCACTTGGCTGCATAAAACGTTATTGTCGTGATTTTAGAAATTTTAATTCCATCTAAATGCTATTTGTTTCACACGTACGTTCAATACTCGAATATGGTTCGATAATCTGGAATCCGCATTACAAAATTCATGTTGGTAGGCTTGAAGCAATACAGTTTAAGTTTTTTGCTGCCTTATTATGTGCAAGATAATTACAATATTTCCTTAAATTATATGTCTCTTTCTACACTTGAAATTAGAAGAAGATATCAGGCTTTATGTTTTGTTTATAAACTTTTAAATAATTTGTTTAATGATACTTCAATACTAAATTTAATTAATTTTCACGTTCCACAGTATAATAGTAGATCAAACCAATTATTCAAAATTTCGTTTGCACACAATAATTATCTGTTTAATTCTCCTCTAAAATCACTCAAAACCGTTTCGGTGGTTTCTAGGGGGAATCAAAATGACATGGTAAGTGACGCACTTGACTTGACTTGATGTGACTTACCATGACATTTTGATTCTCCCTAGGAACCCCCAAAACGGGTTTGAGTGATTTTCAATAACTTTTTCAGCTGAGAGATATTGCCCATTGCAAGTTTTAAAATTGACACAGTGTATAAATTATAAACAATAAAGGTCCTAATACTGATCCTTGAGGAATACAAAATCTATTATACCTCTATCTTCAATGGTTTAGGTCCTAAAGACGTTCAAGTGATGAATATATTTTTACCGGTGGTCAAAAGACAAAAAATTAATTTAAACCTAAACGGTTGAAGATAGAGATATGGCCTCGAGGACTTTTTCGTAGGAAATTTAATTCTCTACAACTTTGTACCCTGCACTTTTGTTGTACCGTATTCGCAGCGTTCTCAAAAATATCGAAAACAGTATTAAACATAAATTATAAACAATTATCAGTTTGCGTTCCGCCCAATATTTTTGAGAACGCTGCGAATTCAAAAAAGTGTAAGAAACAAAATTGTAGAGAACAAAATTTGCTACCAAAAAACCCGCGAACCATATTTCTATCTTCAACAGTTTATGTTTAAATTGCTTTAAAGTGTTCCTCTGGCATTGAATCACCAGTAAAAATAAAATGAATCCGTCGCTTGAGCGGCTTTGAACGTCTTTGAGGCCTAAACCATTAAAGATAGAGGTATGGTCTCGCGGACTAGAAAATTTTACTCTCTACAATTTTCTTTCTTACATTTTTCTTGTATCTTTAACCGTATTTGCAGCATTTTAAAAAACATGAAACGGAGCACAGATTTTAAGTTTTCAATATTTTTTTTCTCATATTTCTCGTGAAAAATTTAATCGTTCGTTTTTCACAGCTTATTAAGAATGTAAAGCTCGACATTTTTGCATATTTTCCAAGCAATTAGTAGACTGGTTGAATTTAAATTAATTGGAAACAAGCTGCTACTAATTTTTTCACCAAAATTTTGACTTGGTAATTTCCATTTAAAGAAAAAACAAACTTTGTGTAGTTCTCCGTAGTCAATACTAATCTATCGACTATCGAACTCACTTAAATCGGGAAAACTTGGTGGTGGTGGAAGTGGTTCTAGTGGGGACCCCACTGCAGGTACATCCGAGTCGATACTCATCGGACTTTTTCCATCTTGACTCGGACTCGTAAAACTAAGACTAGTTCGTTGAGGACTCTTCTCTTTCGCATCCTCTTTATCTTTAAAGCTATTACAACTGTCAGTCGACGGTTCTCTCTTCTTCAAACTCACACCAAATCGCGAACTCGCCTCTTCGACCGAAGGCTGTAACGTACTAACATCACTATTCTCATTACTTTCTTCATTTTTGACTTTCTTCGTAGTAAGGGGGGAAATTGGTATCACTTTCTTTCTCAATTCAGCCGAAACTGTCATAACACCATCTGGGACATCAATCGGCCCGTCGAATTCTTCCGGAGGTGGAGGCAGATCGGTGGGAGGTGGAGGAAACTCCAAATCGGCCAAAGTCGGTTGTACCGCTCTGGAAGGACTCCCACCCCGGAAACTGTTTTGCGTTGCACGAAAAGTCCGGAGACTGTTCCGGACATCTCCGGTATTATTCCTCGATAAATTTCGCGTTCGGGATAATTTCGCCGATGTGGGGGAACTGGGAGGGTGCGTTGCATGAAACGTTGTAACACCTCCAGAAGAGTTACTGCGTATCATTTGAGGTTGTGTCCTTATATTAGTCCTTGGTGACAAAGACCTGGGAGTAGTCTCAGTGGGTTCGACATTGTGAGGGGGCGCATCTTCATTCGTTGACATTCCGCTTTGTTTTAAAGATTCAAGATACGCCCCTATTCGAGCACCTTTCGGTAAAGTGCCATATCGACTGATTGCTTTTCGGACATTTTGCACTTCAAGTGCCGCCACTTGGACCTAAAAATACAATTAAATAAAATTCGGATTAACAAAATTTCAAAAATTCTTACAGCAGGAGTTAAGTCTTTTGTTTTAGTCTTTTTCCCTCTCTGTTCCAAGCCCCTGTTACCCATGATGGGGGCTCGTTTGAATGAACCGGTTGTGCATCCAAGATTGCTTACGGATGAAACTTCCGGATAAGAATGAGCACCGGAGTCGTCCGTGTCTGGTGTTTGGTCTTGGAGGTCGCTCTCGCTGTCCCCTTTAGTACTCGCGGTTAGGTTCTGAAGTTCACGGGTTAAACCTGTACAAGCAGAAGATAAATGCATCACAAAAAATAAATGTAAAAGTGGTTAAATAAGTAATAAAAGTGAAAATTGGCTTAAAAATGACACTTTTGTTCAATGACAATAAGGCAAGAACCTACTTTGTTTTTTTATCGAATCTATTAAGTTACAGTTTACAAAAAAAATTCTTACACTTTGCATTAAATCAAAACCCTGATAATGACTTTTATAAAAGAATTTCACGATTCTACCATAATTCATGAGGAAATAAGTGCTTCAATTTTAAATGTTGATCATTTTAATGAATATATCAGTCGTTATCAGTAGTTTAAACTATAATTAATTAAACAAGAATGAAAAAAAAAACTGAGCGCTTTTTGAATGTTTTACAATTCTGGTTTAATTAGAAGAGGTGTTTTGAAAATGCGAATAAATTTGATCCCCCACTTGATATAAACAAAAAATTATTTAAAAAATATGTACAAATTTATTCCTCCAAATTAATAGCTGATTAAAATACACTACGCCTAAAAATTAAGAAAACAAATATTTCTAAAAATTTTTGATAATTTTTGTGAAAGTCTGTTCTACAGACTGTTCCGTTTTTATTGTTACAAATTTAAACAGGTGATAGAATATTCAATTTTAAGATAAAAGTTCCTATGAACATGTATCAAAAAATTGCATCTTATAATGTATTTTTTCCAATATTTCAGAAACCATTGTAGATAAAATTACACAATTTGGTACAACTAATAATCTTTATACACCCAAACGAATTCAAAGATAAAATGTCGAAATTATTACTCAGAAGCGTCCTAAATTTCATAGTTTTTCACAAAAAAGGTCTCTTGCATTTTTTCGATATAACTTATTACCGTTTTTGAGTAAAATCAGCTTACCATTTGTCTTACAGACCATAAAGCGGAGAAAAAATAAAAATTAAATTCGTTTTATCTATTCTGCAATAGTGGAAAAACCTCATTAAAAAACGCATTTCTTTCAAGGGGTGTAGCTCCCTTACATATTTTTTTTGATACATGTTTATGGCTTAAAATTAAACATTCTATCACCTTTTTCAATTTGTAACAAACAAAATGAAACACCAGAATATTTAAAAAAAAAAAAACCTTTGGCAATTTTATTTTCCTATGCTACCACGAAATCCTACGAAATAGCACAAGAAAAAACAATAATTTTTAGTCCGGCATGAGCTGGATAGCTTGTTTATTCAGTTTAAATTTGCTTTTTTGTATTTTTTTATGTCAAATTGTCGCTGAGACATCTGACTTTTAATAAAAAAAGATCTTCATCAAAATGAGAACACCAATTTTATTTTCATTTTTTTACAATTTTGCATTAGTTATTTGTTTAAATTTAACAAAAACCTAAAAAATTAAAAAAGTATATACAGGTGTTCGTTCGTTTTTCGAGCTCCACTATGAGGATTTCAGTTATTATTATGCTGAACAATAATCTGAAAGAAAATTTATTGTCATTCTTATTTTTTGAATTATTGAAAAAAACGGAAATTTGTAGTTTTTAAGTAGGACGTTCTTAAGGCACTTTCTTACAAGGAATCTAAATCTGTCATCGCATTTTCCAAGGCGCTCTTGATGTCAGAGTTACAACATTCAACTTTGGATTTTCTTATGATTTCTGCATTTTTGAAAAGTCTTTTTGTTCCTGATTACAATGATATATCACACGATACAATCAAAATTTACATGCTGATTAAAATTAAGAAAAAGCGTTTTTGCGAAGTGTGCTTTGGAAGAAACGCCACCAATATTAATTAACAAACTAAATTTTGAAAGTTCAATTAATAAGGCGAGCAGAACTCTTAAATTTTAATCGAATTAATTATAATTAATTAATTATTATTAAAAAAAATAGTTTTTAAGTAGCTAAGCTTGACGTAAATGTAACTTCCAAACCCAAATTAAATTGAACTGTCAAGATTTAGTTTGTTAATTAAAATTGATGGCGTTTCTTCCAAAGCACTCTTCGCAAAAATGCCTTTTCTTAATTTTGATCAGCATGTAAAATTTGATCATATCATGATCACATCGTTTTCACAAATTTAAAAAAAAAAATAATTTTTCAAATTCAATAAAGTTAACAAATTTTTTCTCTCGTGTGATAACAGTAACAGTAGTAGAAAAAAAATTTGCCAAAAAATCTCACAACTACAAACTTAAAGCTTCAAAATGTTTTTTTTTTCGATGATGTGTAGTGTATGTCGACTTGATGTAAGATGAAAACGTGTGTGATCCATGCGTAAACGAACCAAAAAATACCTTTAAATCTTTTTTTAATACCGTTTAAATCAGATCCTTCATCTCCCGCATTGTCTCCTTGTCCTTGATCGTCGAAAGTGCTATCCCGGAACGAACTGCAAGAAGACAGCAAGCTGCAAACGAATTAAAATCACCACACAATTTGTTAGGGTTAGTATGTGCATTCGAAAAGCAAATACGGGTGCGACATGCAAACAAATTACCTTGTACGTTTAGGAGGTGCCGGTGCTTGTTTACCCCTCTTGTTGGTGGTGCGTCGCATTTGAACCAAGTTGTTCTTCGAACCTCCGGTAAATGTTGACAATTTTGATGTTACACTCATGTTATCTACAAAAACAGTAACATTTCCTTTATTCGAATATTTTCTTTATTTGACCTCACCTGCCGCCGATTGATCGGTGACCCCAACCAAGCCATGAATATTCCCCGTACTTCCCGAATGTGACTTTTTATAAGACATGTGCGGCGTCCCTAAAGGTATCGCACTTTCATTTCCTTGCAACTGCTTCTCGACTTCTACAAACAGAAAAGCTTTGAAATAAACAAAACTGTCCCTTTCGCACACCCACCTTCAGTAATACTCGACTCTTGAAACATATTCTCCAGCGAATTATGTATCTCTTTGAAGGTAGGCCGATCTTTGGTGTGCCATTGCCAACACTGTCTCATCAATTCGTAGATTTTTGGAGGACACCCCGGTGGACACTCCATCCTGTATCCCTTTTCTAGCATATGATAGACATCAGTCAAGTCCACTCCTGGATACGGCGACATTCCATACGTTGCAATTTCCCATAGTAGAATCCCAAAAGCCCAGACGTCCGATTTCGTCGAGAATTTATTATAGGCGAGTCCTTCAGGAGCAGTCCATTTGATCGGGAATTTGGCACCTGCGTGTGCTGTGTAAGTATCGTCGCGCATCAAACGAGCCAATCCGAAATCAGCGACTTTAACCAAATGGTTCTCGCCGACGAGGCAATTCCGAGCTGCTAAATCCCGATGGATGAAATTCCGACTTTCAAGATAGCTCATCCCACTGGCAATTTGTGTGGCAATGTACATGAGAACAACAGCGTTGATTTGTTCCTTGTTACCGTTTCGGAGGTAATCCAGAAGGTTTCCTTTACTCATAAATTCAGTTATTATGTAGAAAGGTGGTTCACGGGTACATACACCCATCAATTGTACCAAATTCGGGTGTTTCATCTCTTTCATAATTGCGGCTTCTTCAAGGAAATCCTTCAAGGCCATAGTATCCTCTTTGAGTGTTTTAACAGCCACTGTCATATTGTACCTCTTCCATACCGCCTCGTATACATCTCCATATTGTCCCCCACCCAATTTATGCCTCATCACGATGTCTGTCCTGTTGATTTCCCATTCGTCCGGCTCGGGACTCAATGGAAACACTGTTGGTTTGTTATGTTTCGGTGCAGGATACAACAACTGTGTTATTAATCCGTCCGCTAACATCGAATGGTGATGCACCAATTCCGCCAACGTATTGAACTTGCTTTCAGCCGTGACAAAAACTTTACCTTCTGCATCCTCATTGATCCTGTAGTGATACACCCGACCTTCATACCTCAACGATATACTTCTTTGACCAGGACTACTCTCCGATTCCCTCACCAGAAAACTACCATTTATTCCCGAACTTAGTAGATATTCAGCAGCGTTTCGTGAAATCGGTCCATGGTACCACGAATGCTTCTCTAGGGAATTCACCGGAGTGACGTAATTTGATGGTACCCAACCGATTTGGTTCGACGTCGAATGAGCCTCACACCATTCACCACTTTTGTTGTAACTCAAGATGCGCACTTGTTCGCCTTTCTTAAGGCTAAGTTGATTTTCACCGCCCGATTGGAAGTCGTACAAGGCCACAAACAGCTGCGGATCGTCTTCCTCCTGCGCTAGGAGATTCTCCTTCGATGTCCATCTGTTGGCGGTTTCGAGCGACATGGGCGTGGAAGGTGCACCGGAACCGGAAGAACCTGACAAAGTACCAATCCCACCGCCGGAACCCAGCGTGTTGGTATTGAGAGTTCCCGGAGGGTCGGTCTCGGGTAGGCTGGGTATGTGCGGAAGCGGTCGGCTCTGAAGGAGAGCTTCTGTAACGACAATGACTAATCAGTGGAAAAAAATTCACGATAACGCTACTACACCTACAACCAATTAAAAATACCACTGATAAGGAAAAAAACAAACGCTTATTTATTCGAGTGTATACGATAGTATACAGGAAATTGTAGCGAAATGGATCGTTTCCGTCGCTGGAGATAAGAAAAAACGCAAATTTTTATTATTTCAATCAACAAAATCTAATGGAATTGAACACAACCAGAAAATTTAGTTGAAATGAGTAATTTTACTGTCTGAAACAGGTGTCACGTTCGCTACCAAAACTAAATATTAAATTACAACGTCCCTTGCCGGAAAATTTTACGGAAAGCTTTTAGTACTTTCCTCTCACATGAATAAATAAACACACTCTTCGTCAAAACTTAAAAAAGTCAGTGGCGTAACTAGAAAATTTGGGCCCCCCACGCGAAAGTCTGTTGGGTCCCTCTCTTCTCTGGTTTCGGAGAAGAGAGTAGTATAAAGTATAAGAAGAAACTAAAAAATGCAATCCTTGTAGATTATACATACAGGGTGTCAATTTTAAAACTTGCAATCTAGAACTAAAAAAATTATTGAGAATCACTCAAAACCGTTTCGGTGGTTTTTAGGGGGAATCAAAATGGCATGGTAAGTGACGCTCCTCCACCCACCCTTCAGGCCACAGCCACCTTAAATTGAAAATTTTAAATGGCACGACTCTACTTGCGATACATCGTTGGAAAGCCCATAACAAGCGCTTTTCAAAAATGTCATACAAACAGCCTATTTGGTAAAGCCATTTTTTCAATTATTCAAAAACAAAGACGTTAAATTTTCATTTTTTTTTTTTATTATATTCAAGGGTGGGTGGAAGTGTGTCACTTATCATGTCAATTTAATTCCCCCTAGGAATCACCAAAACGGTTTTGAGTGATTATTAATAACTTTTTAAGTTGAGAGAAATTGCCGATTGCAAGTTTTAAAATTGACACAGTGTATACATACAGGGTGTTTAGAAAAGGATATCTCCGCTGATGTGACGGTGACAGGCAGAGTTAAATACAGTAAAGAAGAAAAATTCTGCAGTTATTTGTTTTTTATTGCATTGGCTTATAATAATTTATGTACGCCCTTTAAAAATTTTTAAACTAATACTATTATTATTATTATTATTATTATTATTTTGGAAAGGGCCCTTTATCCCAAGGGCCCCCCGCGGCCGCGGGCTTTGGCGGGTGGGTAGTTACGCCACTGAAAAAAGTTCCTTTTAAAATAATGCGCTCTAATTTTTGACGATCGATTTGCCCTCTAATTCCAAAGAGGAAAAGCACCGTTCAAATCGTTGGACTGTTACAACGGTACAACTAATGGTAAATGCAACAACAACAACAACTGATAAATGACCCGATTTTATCGCAAAAACGGCACGTGACAACTAATCGACGCACGATTTTTAGATAAAAGACGCAACAGAGCTCGAAATTATTTGCAACTTTCGTTATTTCTGGTTTTACAGTTCGGTTCTGATACTTATCGCAACAGGGATTTTAAATGGAGTGAACAGTGATGGATGAGCTCAAACGACTTGTAAAACAATGACCTGATGTGAGGCAGGTGCAATTGAAAGAGACTGCTCGTGTCTATTATAGAAAAACGACGAAAAATGCCAGATCAAAAGATTTTTATGAATGAATGATCAAACAAAATAATATCCAAATATAAAGTAAACGCTAGTAGTTGTTTAAAATTGAACCTTGCAACTTTTTGTATAAAATAAGATTAATAACAGTAAAATTCCCCCTTGTAGTGGTGTCCGAAATGAAAAGTAGAAAATATTAGATTTTGCATTTAATATCGAATGAAAAATAGAAACACAACAGAGAATTGATTAGATAAGAGATTAAACAATGCCATGAAAAATGGTGTTATGTAAAAACGAACGTAAATCTGCATAGATAATCTATTATATAAACTACTGTTTAAACCTGATAAATGGTAGAGAATACGCTTTTTCAACAGGGAGGAAATTTATAAAATAAAAATTGTATTTCCGATTCTGAACTTTTTAACATAGAAAATCTTAACATAATAAACAAAATTATCCAGAAATATTACATAGGATGCGCCAGAACTAGCGCCCCAGAGGTAAAAATGTTAAAAAAATTCTATCTATAAAAATTTCGAAGTCATGAGAGTTTAAACTTTGCACTTTGATTCTATTTATTTCTGTGGGAAAAATAATTTTTCAAGTTTTTTTGCTACGGGCTATTAGAAGAGGAAACAAGGAAGCTGTATCCTAAATTGTAACTATGTTTAATGTTATTTATCTTTTATTGACAAAATTTTTGTACCTTTACCAAATAATTATAAAAAAAACATATACAAGATCATCAGTATCATTAAATAGACATAAAAAAAATGTCAAGTATCAAAAAATAAATTTCAATTTTTTTTGACAGAGAATTTTTTTAATATTTTTTCCATGTTCCTGGTATCTTGTCTTACCTGAAATTTTTCTCTAGGGCGCGAGTTATGGCGAGTATTTACATATTTTTTTAAATTTAAACTTAAAGTCAGAAAAAGTACTGCTTTTTCATTCACTTTACAAACGATTTTACAAAAAAAAACCTTTGCTTTGCTTTTTACCTAATAATTAATAAAATCTCGAAATTCGGAGAAGGCAACTTTGGTTTATTGTCTCAACTTTTAACCTAATTAAAATTTCTGCACAATTATGAAAACCACCTTGTATATAACTAAAGTTTCACCTGTAGTTTTTTTTATGGCTGAAGAAGCTTTCTAGTGCCTTAAGATTGGCATTTTAAGCAAAACAAAAAATTCTTCTTGATTAAAATTACTTTCATTTTGTTATAAAATAAAAACTGTTTAGTTTAAATAATTTTTCCAGAGTTTTTTCCTTAATCTCGAATGCAATAGAACATTCAACCCTGTTTGAACAATCTCCAATAAATCTAATTAAATAGAGAGCAGTCCATAAATAACATTAAATCTGTTAGAACCATTACGGCGATCATAAAACCGAGTTTTAATTACAGACAGCACAAAACAGCTCGTCAACTACCACCATCTTAATAAAAAACAATAAACGTTTCGATGCAGAAAGTGCTTTTAAAACTTTCGCTTTTTCTTCTACATTCATTCGAACTAAGTGAACCAACAACACCGTCTTTTCTAAAATAGGACCGAAGAACCTTGCCAAGGTCTGGCTTCCGTAATTACCACCTTTGAAACGTTCTGGGAACAGTTAGAGAATAGAAGAGAGGTTACTGTACTCTCATTTCAATTCTGACTACTGAAAGAGGAAGAAAAACAGCAAAAAACAATTACCGACAAAAATGGTAACCTTGTCAAGGCCCCACCCTATCAACTCTCCCGGTGGCAGTGACAAATACCGTAAACTGATCATAACGACAGTGTAACTACATATTTATTATTACAGAGAAGTTGCGATTGTATCTTGCAATTAAAACTTCTTATCTACGAGTAATTTAATTAAAAAGTCTGCATTGTTAAGCGAAATATAAATTTGATTTAGAAACAATGACAAGATGATTCGTTACAGGAGCGAAATAAAGTTAATTAATGTAAAACCAAATAAACAAAATTTCCTCTTATCCAAACTCTGAAAATTTTTATTAAATTGGCATTGAAATTTACTCCTTTAGTCTCACGAGTGACATTTTTTTACAAAAACTATAAAAATCTCACAAAAATAAGAAATCTATCAATTATTATTAATGAAAAAAAGATTACGTTCCTCTTATGTGTGACATAGTAGAAGTTACAAGTATACTTGATAAATCTCTAAACTAAAAATAGTAGATTACATACCGAGATAGAAAATGTTTCATTATTGTCGAGAGATTATCTAAAAATGCGTTTAATTGTGACAAAAGTGGGACTAGAAAACAAGAGTAGTAGTAATATAGGTGAGTACGAAGAGGTCAGTATTGAGTCACTTTCCAACCTCAGACAAGGTAAGAAAAGTCAACATTACAAATACGGTTGTGAATAAAAAATATTTTTAACTTTGCCGCGCTTTTTACAAAAAACAGGAAGTCTGAGAACGCCAAATGTCAACTAGCAAAAAATGTATAATCCAGCTTTATTGTAATAATGATTGGTTTTATAATTCCTTAGTACTTAATAGTCACTCACAAACACAATAGTGGAAATATGAATAACTGCGGCTTTAGACTTCTACTATGATATTCTGAAATCTAATATTTGTAAGTTATTATTAGCGAAATAAACAAAATTTCAGCCATTTTCTTAAACTTCCACCATTCCATAGCAGAAAATTCCATCTAATCACCGATTCAACTCGCTATTATCTGTACAGTTAGAGCTCAGCGGCAGCAATTTTGTCTGTATATGGCGTATTCCAATTCGATTTATTTCACCAATAAAACATAAAAAAAAGTTTTTTACACGTTCACCGTTTCCGTTTTTCACACAACGCGTCCGTTAGACATAATTAAAAAATACAGGCTGTTCTGAGTAAACCCCACATTAGAAGTATTGGGAGTTCTAACAGTGATATTTATCTAAAATTTTGACTATAGCCATAATCGTTTAGATCCTGTTCAATGAAAATATTTTCAAGATGGCAACACTTCCGGTTACACCTGAAATGGGTATCGATTTTGTTATTTTCAATAAAAGGTTATGTTTTTTATTGCGTTTTTGGATTACTCAAGTAATTTTTAGACTTTTTGAATTTTTTTAAATTTGCATCTTCCTCTCAAAAAACCGATAATTCTACCATTTTTAATTGTTTTGAAATCGTATTTAGGCATATGAAAAAGAAAGGTTAGATCTTTTCTTTCGTGTATTTATAATTGGAAAAATATTTTTCCAACAACTGAATTTTTTCAAATGAAAGGCCCCAATATTTTCTTCACTAAATGAAAGAGAATTTAATTCTGCATCGATCTGTATCAACATTCCTGTACTTAAATTTAATGATTTCCAAGTTATTTTGACTTTT